ATATATATATATATATATATATATATATATATATGCCTAATCAAATGAAAACTAATTAGTTTATGCTGGCTGTACTGTGTGATCCAATGTGAGATAATCATTTAAGATAATTAATATTCTTCTTAAAATAAAATAAAAGGATAAATTAGTAATTTAGGTTGATTATTCATTTTACTATAATTAGTTTAATATATATTTCAATTTATTTTAATTATATTAATTAATTTATTATATATATACACACATATGGACCAAAATTCGGTGGCCTCCTCCGGCAAGTGATGACTTCCTCCGGTCATTTTGTCTGACCAAGATGCCGTTTCCGATGACCTTCTCCCTTCCCCTATCCCTGCTTCCGACCACCATCTACATCGACACTCCCTTCGATCTCCCCTTCAAAACGCCCTCTTCGAGTGATACCGTACTGGTACTACAGTTGGTATCACAATGGTAACACAATTGATATCGCATTGGTACCACAGTTGGTATCATAGTGGTCTCGAAGTTTACTTGGTGTGTTTTGAATATCACATTGTGTATCTTGGTGTATTTTGGGTATCATATGGTGTTCGCCGAAATAAGGTTTATTGGAGGTCAGAAGCAGGAGAGAGAGAGGAGAGAAAAAATTTAAATACCTAAAATGCCCTTTAATTAAAAATTTAAGTCAAATTACCAAAAATATTAGTTTTCTAATTTATCCATTTATTTGTGGTTGAGATTGGATCACACAATTATCACAAACTAACTAGTTCTCCTTTGAATGAACCTATATATATATATATATATATATATATAGAGAGAGAGAGAGAGAGAGAGAGAGAGAGAGAGGGTGTTTCAAATACTAACCAATTTTTTTTGTGTAAACTCTACTAACCAACATCAACCAATCACATTCTTTCTTTACTTCATGTTCAAATGTAACTTATAAATTGAATACAAGGGTCATTTTGTAATTTGACCTTTATGTAACTCCCTAATAATTATTTGAGAGTTACAAATCTTTTAAGCTCCCTCTAATTGATAATGAGGTAATTCCGATGTTCACGGTGTTCATGGTGTTCATATCCATCTAATGTCCATGAACATTCATCGTGTTCATATAAATGTTCACCGTGTTCATATAAATGTTCACCGTGTTCATGCGATGTTTTTACAAAAGTATCATTTGAACCGTTGTTCATAGGCATCTCAATTAATATATTAATTAAATGATTATTTTTATAGTCTCATTTAATAAGGACCATTTGATGAGAAAATAAACGATCAAGATCGGGTTAACATAGTTTGCACAATAGTTTTGGTTAGTATTTGAACCAGCCCCTATATAGGGGAACGATCAAATGCAAACCACTCAATTTGTACAAACCGTGCAAACCTCATTCAACCAATCATAATTTTTCATTTTGTTCATTTTTTTGTAATTATGAGAGGTTGATTAATCATTTTTATTGTGGAGGGTGTTAATCATAGATATTATCATCTTCATTATTTTAATTTTTAGAGAAATACATGAAACAGTTTCATTAATTTTAGAGAAATACATGAAACAGTTTCATTAAGTATTATATGAAACAATTTTACAACCATATATGAAAAAACTTGATCAAAAAAAAGTATTATATGAAACAATTTCACAAGATTAAACAATTTCATGTAAATTTTTCATAAGATTAAACAATGAAATCGACGGATGAAGGTGGTTTGCACGGTTTACACAAATGAGGGCGGTTTTTATTTGATCACTCCTATATATATATATATATATGGGTGGAGGTTCAAACGAGAACACCTCCATTTTATGAGAACGCGAGAACATCTTATCACATGTGATAATACACTTGAGGGGACTTGATGGTGTATGGATGACGAGCCTAAGTCGCACCAAAGGTTGTGTGCGTCTATAATTTAGTATCACATGTGATGGTCTTGATGGATCATAGTATCACATTAATAACACATTTATCACATGTGATAGTACATGTGAGGGGGCTTAGTGGTGTAATGAACAACTTGGCCTACAACCTAGATCGCGTTAAAAGTCCTTCATATCTCTAATTTAGTATCACATGTATATCATATGTATTATAATAATAGTATCACATGTGATTATTTATGATAATATGATGTTCTTACGTTCTCATAAAATAAAGATGTTCTCGTTTGAACTCTTCCCTATATATATATATATATATATATATATATATATATGAGAGAGAGAGATGTGCATAATTGTTCTGTCTATCCTGAATTCGTGACACAGACATAATATGATATAGGAGACTGATCTTGTTGCACTGTCCAGTCTCTTTTATGCCTCTCTACTCTATACTTGCTTTCACTTTGATGTTTTGCATGTCTATATATTGTATTGCATGCACCAGATGGGATCTAAAACCTATGAGGCGATCTCGGTCTTTATGTATGTTCCATGCAACATGCATGCATCCTTTTACAGATGTCTTCATTAATTTACTACAGCTTTACGTATATACACACATATATATATATAGAGAGAGAGAGAGAGAGAGATCCCGATGTTCTTTAAGACGGTAAAACTTCTTCAGCCAGGCACGACAGCTTCAAATGTTGGTAGTTAAACCACAACGACAGAATCTTAACTTTCCAGCTTAATTAGCACATACTTAATCAAGCATATGATTAAGATAAAGATATAATTATATATATATATATATCGTCTTTAATAAGAAAAAGGAAGATACAAACAAAACAAAAGAAACAAAGTGTAAAGCAAAAGTAAACATATATATTAATAATCCAAATATATATATATATATATATATATAGATATATGCAGGGGCGGAACACGACTGTTGTAGTCCGGGGGGCCGAATTAAGAACATCTTCAATAAATTTTTTAAAATTGAGAAAATAAATATTTTAGGCATATTTTTGCTCCAACAGCATCTCCAAAACTCTCCAAAATGGAGAAAACATGAGAGAGTGTAAACCAAAAATGATTATAACAAGAGAGAAACATTTTTTTTAGTATAATCACACCGATAGGAATCCTTGATATTAATGGTTTATGATAGAGAAATAATATTTTTATTAGAGTTTTAATTCTCCATGGGGAATATGCTGGACATGCTATAATACTGTAAAATTTTATAAATCTAAATTATTCGTTTTTAGACTATTAAATTAAAAAAAAAGTTTGATTAATGTAAGATTAAAACTCGAAACATTCAAAGTATTAACGGAAAATTAGTAATACCAACTTAAACATTATTTATATATAATTAATACATTATATAATTTACTCCAAAAACTTAGACATTCAAAGCATTAACAAAAAAATAGTAATACCAGTGTAATTTACTCTACAAACTTATGTCATGGAGTCCGATTATATCACTCTTGTATTTTCATCTAACCCATGCAGTAACAAATGTTTATTTAATCGACGAATTACTTTTTATCGCGGTTGTTATTAATATTTTATTAATTTTATAATTATGAAGACTTTGTTTGATCGTTATATCATCAAAACTTCATTTCAATATATTTTATAATCATAATGTTTAAGGTATTATTTAAGTATAAAATTATCATTTTAAAACTCTAAGGGGTCATTTACCTAAATGCTTACCCGGTAAACGCTTATCTTAAGAGTCAACACTATTATTTATTTTATCGGGTAAGATTGTAGTACATCAAAACGTATCTTATGCAACAATTTTACCTGGTAAGCGCTTAGCCAGATAAGAGTCGTCACCCTCACTTACGGGGTAAAACTTTCCATTCTTATCATCGCTCTTACCGGGTAAGATTTTTGCCCTTTGTCATGTTTAGCTGGTAAGAAAAATTGTCCAGTAAGTACTCACCGGGTAAACGTTTAGTAAACGGCCCCTAAATCTCCTTAACAATTGTTTCACAATAAAATATTTAGTTCTAACTATAGAAACCAACAATTTTTAGCCTAATTAAAATGAAAAATAAACAATATTTAGCTTGACAAACAATGAAGAGATCAAGTTATTATTTAAATAAAACATTTGCTAGACTTGATGTATATTATTTTAATGGTGAATAAATGGGGAGGCCAAAATAAAATTTTAATTATTTTATAATTAAATTTCCAATCTATTGTAGGATGGAGATGCAAAGGCACAGGGGCCATGGCCCCCCTATGCCCCTTAAGCCATCCGCCACTGGATATATGTATGTATATATATGCATGTGTGGGGTGTATACATATTTATATGTTCCACTACACAACACCAACATAAAGTTATCTGGTCTTGTAGAGACACAACATGAAGAATCAACAACAACTCCTATGCCCCGACCCGACCCGATCCGACCACAAGAAGACACCCAGACTGCCCAGTATATATCATCATTCGCCAATATTAAATCAGATTTTTTTTTCCTTTTGATTTTGTAAATTTGTCTCATCCTAAATCGTCATGGATCCTAATGATCAGTAACAAGCTATTTGAGCAATTCTGATATATACCAAAAAGATCGAATTAATATTAACCAAATTTCACCAAATTGTATCTGCAAACCAGTGATCACCCGATCTAAAGCTGGCTGTTACAAACAAAGCTATGCCAAGCACAACTCAAAAAGCAACAAACCCTAGCTCCATATTCGAACGGGAAAAATGAAACAATTAAGATGAAATAATCAACATAACGTTCGAAGATCGATCGAAGAACCATCTCATTGCGGTCGGAAAAAGAATATGCTGAGTTCTTGACCAATATTACCATCTGGGTCGATCAAATGGAAGGTTTCCGATCGAGTCATGGATTTACCAGTAACCCGATTAAAGAATCCCCTTAGATACATTATGTCTTCTTCACGTTCAACTTCTTTGGCCTTTATAATTCCTGCACCCACATGCACAGTTTCCATGTGCTTTAAAACCTTGATATCACTCGACGATGGCTGCCTCTTGAATGCAAACCCTACTTTTTTTCCATTACAGTACATGGTCCATGATGGTATAGACAGCAGAGATTTGTGATCACTACATGAAGAGGTAGAGCACTCAAGGGCGATTCTTAGATTGCCACTTTTCATTTCACGAGCCAGAAAGGTGGTGGAGATTGTGAGTTCAAGAAGGAGGATTGGGGTTTGCGATTTAGGGTTTGTTTGGATACAGAAGTTGACTTTTCCGGTGCGTGACCCAAAAATGGTGCCGGTGATGGCGGTGGCGGCGGTGGGGAATACTAAAGAAGAAGATTTGCGATGGTGGTAAGAATGAATTGGATAACTGTCGTCGACGTCGTTGTAATCTTGTTTTTCAACTAGGGTACAGGTGCAGGCTTGGATGAGTAGCTCCAAGATGGAGCGGAGGAGCCGCCATGAACGGACTTGTTTATGGCATTCGACGGTGGTGAAGTTGGGCGGAGCTACGGTGGGATAGGCCATTAATGGGGTTTTGGTGAGAGAGGTTGAGGCTTAGGGTGGAAGTTATGGGTGATGTAGGGTTTATATAGGGAATGTTGGCAGGTGACAACCCAAAAGAAGGCTGAAGGCTATAATTTAAATTCAAATAGGACTTTAAAAAGATATGGTCCCAAGTTGCAGAAAAACACTAGAAGCTCCTAAAAAGTTAACTTCATTATATGGAGCGGTTAGACCCGTTTTAATCCTTCTATGTCGGGTTTTATATAATATATATATATATATATATATATATATATATATATATATATATATATATA